CGGTAAAAACACTGTATAAACAGGGGACAGGTTCGTAAAACCCTGTACAAACAGGGGACTGGTTCGTAAAACCCTAAACCACTGTACAGACAGAGGACAGGTTCGTAAAACATTAAAACACTGTACAAACAGGGGACAGGCTCGTAAAACCCTGTATAAGCAGGGGACAGGTTCGTAAAACCCTGAACCACTGTACAAACAGGGGACAGGCTCGTAAAACACTAAAACAGTGTACAAACAGGGGACAGGTTCGTTCAGCACTAAACCACTGAACAAACAGGGGACAGGTTCGTAAAACCCTGAATAAACAGGGGACAGGTTCGTAAAACCCTGAACCACTGTACAAACAGGGGACGGGTTCGTAAAACACTAAAACAGTGTACAAACAGGGGACAGGTTCGTAAAAACCTGAACCACTGTACAAACAGGGGACAGGTTCGTTAAACACTAAAACACTGTACAAACAGGGGACAGGTTCGTAAAACACTAAAACAGTGTACAAACAGGGGACAGGTTCGTTAAGCACTAAACCACTGTACAAACAGGGGACAGGTTCGTAAAACACTAAACCACTGTACAAACTGGGGACAGGTTCGTAAAAATACTGTACAAACAGGGGACAGGTTCGTAAAACACTAAACCACTGTACAAACAGGGGACAGGTTCGTAAAAACACTCTACAAACAGGGGACAGGTTCATAAAACCCGTTAATTTATGAATTTCAAAATTTTAAATGAGCACTGTTTAATTTCAAAATCAATCAGTAGGAAAGTGTGAGTATAACTCTTAAAACGTCTCCATATTTCACCCACCTATGAGGATGCTTTGTGATGCTATAAGGTAGTCCAGTCCTGTGGCGAAGCTGCTGACGCTATACCCAATAGCGCAGAGAATTATTCCTAGGAAGACGGACGCCCTGACACTAAGTCGCTTAAAGCCGATCAGTAGCAGTGATGACGCTGAGAATACAAATATGGTATAAGATGTTTTAGTTTACTAACACATTTAAATTTTAATCTTATTCAATCTTTCTATAAGATGAAATCAGGTATCAAGCCAAACCGTTAACGTTAATCCTCTTGAATCAAGGCAGACATCTGCCGACCATGATATCACGTGGCTCTTAGGCTAGTAGTCTATGTCTGTGAGCCAGACTAAAACATCCTGATGATTGAACATTAGCCCCACACAGGGGATTGCACTGTATAAATTAGGTAATAAATACAGTATGCCAAACTACACAACACTAACAGCTGTTTCATCCTTATAGGACACCAGGGGCAAAAAATGTGGAAATCCAAATTGGTCTATACACATGAGGAGGTACGTAAAGCACTTTAATTATAAGATTTCAAAAACGATACACAGAATATTTGTTGGGGTCTCAAGTAGCGAATCAACAGAGAAACGTTACGTCTATAAACGACGAGGCCATTACCGCTCTAAGGTAGTTTGACATCCGTTAAACCAAAATCAACCATTTTGCCATAGTTCGGTTCAGGTTATAGTCAGGAAAGGAAGTGTGAAGGTGTGAAGGATCAATAAGGTAACGAGTATTTATTCAAGGACTAGACATCATCCGTGTTTTGAATGTGAAATTTAGGGATCGCCTTTCTCTAAAATCAAAACTCTTTCAGGTTCAACAAGCTCCCCAACATATGGTTAAGTCACTCAAAATCTCAACCTTTTGATAGTCATAAAAGACCCCAATTAAACGTCGGAATTCAAGCATATAGCTTTTGGATATGTTTAACATAGCGACGTTTACTTATAAGGCAATAAGACTAATGTCTTCATAGAAATAGATCACCAGCATATTACACGTTTAGTCTTTTTTGCAATCTAACTTAAAGCTTTGTATAGACATACATGCCTCAAACTATAATGGAATTCGTCATGGGAAACCACTTCAACCAATGTAAAAAAACCTCCAGTAATGAATGCATTGGAAACTTTGTAATCCGGAATGACTACGGCTTTGATAAATCACATATGAAAAAGCATGCCTTGCGGGAAATGAGAAATAAAAAAAGATAAAGCAATTACTAATTGTAATGAGTGACCATTACAGTAGTCCCCCAAACTATCCCAATAGTCGCAAAGATGCATCAGAAAAGGATCGCAATGTTATAATACACGTACATACCAAATTTGAGTGAAATCAAACAAAGCCTAAATTTCGACCAATCAAAAGCAAGTATACAGCAGCCATCTTGTCTGATCAGAAAACGGATGCAGCAGTTGAGTTTGCAGTGCTTAAATACACCTTCATACAAAATTTGAGTGAAATCGAATAATATTTGAATATCGACCAATCAGAACAATAGACCTACCTGGGATACAGTAGACCGTACACCTACCTGTGATACCGTAGACCGTACACCTACCTGTGATACAGTAAACCATACACCCGACCTGTGATACAGTAGACCATACCCTACCTGTGATACAGTAAACCATACACCTACCTGTGATACAGTAGACCGTACACCTACCTGTTACAGTAGACCATACACCTACCTGGGATACAGTAGACCGTACACCTACCTGTGATACAGTAGACCATACACCGACCTGTGATACAGTAGACCATACGCCTACCTGTGATACAGTAGACCATTCACCTACCTGTAATACAGTAGACCATACACCTACCTGTAATACAGTAGACCATTCACCTACCTGTGATACAGTAGACCATACACCTACCTGTAATACAGTAGACCATTCACCTACCTGTGATACCGTAGACCATTACACCTACCTGTGATACCGTAGACCATACACCTACCTGTGATACAGTAGACCATACACCTACCTGATACAGTAGACCATACACCTACCTGTGATACAGTAGACCATTCACCTACCTGTGATACCGTAGACCATACACCTACCTGTGATACCGTAGACTATACACCTACCTGTGATACCGTAGACCATACACCTACCTGTGATACCGTAGACCGTACACCTACCTGTGATACAGTAGACAATACACCTACCTGTGATACAGTAGACCATACACCTACCTGTGATACAGTAGACCGTACACCTACCTGTGATACAGTAGACCATACACCTACCTGTGATACCGTAGACCATACACCTACCTGTGATACAGTAGACCATACACCTACCTGTGATACCGTAGACCATACACCTACCTGTGATACAGTAGACCATACACCTACCTGTGATACCGTAGACCATACACCTACCTGTGATACAGTAGACCATACACCTACCTGTGATACCGTAGACCATACACCTACCTGTGATACAGTAGACCATACACCTACCTGTGATACCGTAGACCATACACCTACCTGTGATACAGTAGACCATACACCTACCTGTGATACCGTAGACCATACACCTACCTGTGATACAGTAGACCATACACCTACCTGTGATACCGTAGACCATACACCTACCTGTGATACAGTAGACCATACACCTACCTGTGATACCGTAGACCATACACCTACCTGTGATACAGTAGACCATACACCTACCTGTGATACCGTAGACCATACACCTACCTGTGATACAGTAGACCATACACCTACCTGTGATACCGTAGACCATACACCTACCTGTGATACAGTAGACCATACACCTACCTGTGATACCGTAGACCATACACCTACCTGTGATACAGTAGACCATACACCTACCTGTGATACCGTAGACCATACACCTACCTGTGATACAGTAGACCATACACCTACCTGTGATACCGTAGACCATACACCTACCTGTGATACAGTAGACCATACACCTACCTGTGATACCGTAGACCATACACCTACCTGTGATACAGTAGACCATACACCTACCTGTGATACCGTAGACCATACACCTACCTGTGATACAGTAGACCATACACCTACCTGTGATACCGTAGACCATACACCTACCTGTGATACAGTAGACCATACACCTACCTGTGATACCGTAGACCATACACCTACCTGTGATACAGTAGACCATACACCTACCTGTGATACCGTAGACCATACACCTACCTGTGATACAGTAGACCATACACCTACCTGTGATACCGTAGACCATACACCTACCTGTGATACAGTAGACCATACACCTACCTGTGATACCGTAGACCATACACCTACCTGTGATACAGTAGACCATACACCTACCTGTGATACCGTAGACCATACACCTACCTGTGATACAGTAGACCATACACCTACCTGTGATACCGTAGACCATACACCTACCTGTGATACAGTAGACCATACACCTACCTGTGATACCGTAGACCATACACCTACCTGTGATACAGTAGACCATACACCTACCTGTGATACCGTAGACCATACACCTACCTGTGATACCGTAGACCGTACACCTACCTGTGATACAGTAGACCATACACCTACCTGTGATACCGTAGACCATACACCTACCTGTGATACAGTAGACCATACACCTACCTGTGATACCGTAGACAATACACCTACCTGTGATACAGTAAACAATACACCTACCTGTGATACAGAAGACAATACGCCTACCTGTGATACAGTAGACCGTACACCTACCTGTGATACAGTAGACAATACGCCTGCCTGTGATACAGTAGACCGTACACATACCTGTGATACAGTAGACCATACACCTGCCTGTGATACCGTAGACCATACACCTACCGGTGATACAGTAGACAATACACCTACCTGTGATACGGTAGACCATACACCTACCTGTGATACAGTAGCCCGTACACCTACCTGTGATACAGTAGACAGTACACCTACCTGTGATACAGTAGACCATTCACCTTCCTGTGATACAGTAGACCGTACACCTACCAGACCGTACACCTACCTGTGATACAGAAGACCGTACACCTACCTGTGATACAGTAGACAATACACCTACCTGTGATACAGTAGACCACAGTCAGCACAGTGTTAATCAGCACTGTCATCATTACTGTCCCCTTAAACGTCCGGAGGAACTCTATAAAGAAGATACCATACGATTTCTCGGTTCCTACGTTGATCGTTGATATAACCAGTGACCCTGTAATAAAACTCAACATCTACATCCCAAAGCAAAAATGCATTAGAATATATACCCTTTAAGTATAAAGGTTCAGCAATCCCGCTTAAAGATAGTTTACTCACCCAAAATATCAACCCCCTGTCAAGTCATAAGACATCCTGTAATGCCTGTAAGCTTCATTAATTAAGACATCGATATTAATGCCTTATTATTGTCCATGTTGACGTCACTATTTCCCGTTTTAGTAACTAAGTACAAGTTCAATATATGCCAATTACATATCTGAATCCCGATGTTTAACTAGAGTCCTTAGACATGACTTATCAGGGGATAACTATTAAGGGTGACTTTACTATCTTTGAGAGAGGTTTTAAATTTTAACATTCATCCATGATGAGGACTTTCTTCAGAAAAAAACAACAAGAGAATATGTACAGCTAGAATAAGACTAAGTGTTCCGGAAGGGTCAGCGTCTCCTGGTTTATCGATGACACCCGCCATGTAAATCTAGGTGCCCAGGTAATGTCACGCCCTCGCATCGAGACCTTGGGTAGTGACAACAAAACCATAAGGCACTCTAGTAGGCATAATAAATAACATCGACCTCCATTTTACACAAAGAACTAGCATAGTTCTCTATGAGATTATGATGGCGTAGATTTTGGTATGAAGCCTGATGTATTGGTATTGTTCGTGGTATATGAAGCCTGCTGTCTTGGTTTTGTTCGTGGTATATGAAGCCTTAAGTATTGGTATTGTTCGTGGTATATGAAGCCTTATGTATTGGTATTGTTCGTGGTATATGAAGCCTTAAGTATTGGTATTGTTCGTGGTATATGAAGGCTGATGTATTGGTATTGTTCGTGGTATATGAAGCCTGCTGTATTGGTTTTGTTCGTGGTATATGAAGCCTGAAGTATTGGTATTGTTCGTGGTATATGAAGCCTGCTGTATTGGTATTGTTCGTGGTATATGAAGCCTGATGTATTGGTATTGTCCGTGGGATATGAAGCCTAATGTATTGGTATTGTTCGGGGTATATGAAGCCTGCTGTATTGGTATTGTTCGGGGTATATGAAGCCTGATGTATTGTTTTTGTTCGTGGGATATGAAGCCGGCTGTATTGGTTTTGTTCGTTGTATATGAAGCCTGATGTATTGTTTTTGTTCGTGGGATATGAAGCCTGCTGTCTTGGTTTTGTTCGTGGTATATGAAGCCTGGTGTATTGGTATGTTTTGTATGTGCTGTTGTATCGATTGAATTGAATGTTATCGATAATAAGAATTATCTTTGTATCATACAGTTGTGGGATCGCACAACGTTACACGATGTGTGCACGATGTGTGCACGGTGTTTGAACCTTGTGTGCACGATGGGCGAACGATAAAAGGCTGGACGATCATTGCTTGCGCACATCTGTGCGCACGATGGACGGACGTTGTGCGATAACAATCGTGGTTGGTGTAAATTGAGGAATGCCTTAACAATTTATACGGTTTCATGTTTAAACATATAAACTTGATGTTTACGTTTGTTTCTATATTCTAGCAACATCTATAAACTTATCTTTCTGTCTATGCATTCTTATATTTAGAAATTGTGTTTTCGATGTTTTTAAACAAACTTAATCGACATATCTAAAATTACAACAGAATCCCGTATACAGGTAAACATAACCACTTTGTACATGTATCTGGACCGTAGTTTTCTCCCTGCCTGGGGCACTTACGTAACTCGTCGGGTAAGGCCGGGGG